CTATATTATGTCTATCCTTGCAAAAAAAAAAAAAAAAAAAAGGTAGGGGCTATCCCCACCCCCCCCCCCCTCCCGTTCCGACACCTATGCAGATTTATATAGAAAATGGTACAAAGTCGCTTATTTGAACGGCGTTAAAGAAATCCTACGATTTTATATATATATTTTAGGAATCTATTATATATGTTATTTCTATTCAAAATCAGTCAAAAAATATGTATCTTTTTTTTTGTTTGTGTTATGTATCCTTCACGATAGATATATTTTATTCAACACATAAAATATTCTTACCTCTGACTAGAAAAATTTCCAGACGCATCCAATACACTATAACATTAGGCTGTAAAATGCATTCCTCATTGCCATAAATGTCAAATAACTTTCAGAAAAGTTTCCCCAAAGGGCTAGAATCTGATTTCATTTCAAATTGATAGTATGATCTATCTTTTTCCACAAACAACGACTTCATTATATCAGTATTTTCTGTGGGATTTCTTTTCGTGGGCTATGTAATCGCATATAAATAAACTATCTAAAAATCTCACTGACTAGTCTTTAGAAAGAAATTAAAATAAGAACTGTGGAATTAAATTGTTACTTTCTCTGTCAACCCCTAAATGATCGAAAAAACAAGGTCCTTTAAAAGTCTGAGTTTTTAACGACAGTTGAAATAGAATTTTAAATGCTAAGTAAATTGACAGAGAACCCCTGTTCTGAATAGAACAGAAAATCGAACACTAGAAATCCTGAAGCTATTGGCTACTGTGATTGTCAATATTTTGTCATCGACAAAACATTGATTTTCTATTAGGGTAAATTGGTTATATTGGGACTTCGACAGGTTTATTCTACATGTAATTTACATGTACAAATATGCACGTCCGTTTAGTACATATAATTTATTTATGTGCGTAATTGTTTTTCTGCAGTCTTTAATTAAAGACATTTACTTTTCTTGTAATGCTTAAACTATTTTTATACAGGTTTTAAATGACCGTGCTGGCACATCGCAATGCTTAACTTTAACTTTCATGTATATAGGCAGGGTGCCTGATGTCCAGTCCAATTATGAAAGTGGCTTTACGTAATAAAATATTGATTAAATTATATAACGTTTAATTTTTGATTATTTTTTTTTTACGTTTGTTACATGAATATTTTACTTAATGTTTTATAACAAAATAAATATTTTTTTACTATTACAAAATTATTGTACAAGTGTTTGCAGTGTATAGGTAACCGTCAACTGGTGTTTAGTGACATATTTCCCAAAAGTGAAAACGGATAAAGCTGATCTTGAGTATTTAAACAGTCTGAAACAATCCCGACATATCGAGAAATGAGCAACAGCAAAATAGAAAATATCCCCAAAGCGAGAAAAAGTGTAATTCTGTACGTGTTTTCACGGTAAATCTTGACGTCAACTGTTCAAGCTACATGTTACAACAATCCGGGAAGAGGTTCAATATTCTTGATTGATAAAGTTTACAAATGTAACTGTCATTTTATTATTTCAGAGTTTAAAAGGAAGCTCTTTGTAAATATCAATGATAAGGGGAGGGGGTGTCCTTCGCCTTCGCAAAAGCGAGGGGACATTAAATCCCATTTGTCTTACAGTCCGCCAGTCTGTCCGTCAGTCACAAAAACTTTAACCTGGGTCATAACTTTTGAATGAGAAAAGATAGAGCTTTCATATTTTACATGTACATTGCCTGTGACAAGACCTTTACAATTTTAATGTAATTTCTAACATCATAACCTCATGACCTTGACCTTGAAGTTTGACCTACTTTTCAAAATCTTTAACATTGGTGATAACTTTTGAGTACGAGAAGATAGGATATTCATAGTTGATATGTGCACTACCTGTTACAAGACCTTTCCGAATGTACTACGGTTTTTGACCTCTTGACTTTGACCTTGAAATTAAACCTACAATACTTTGCGAAGTTATAACATTGGTAATAACTTCTGAGTGAGAGAAGAAAGGACTTTCATATTTTACATGTACATTACATGTACCTGTGACGACACCTTTCGGAAAGAACTATCATTTTTGACTTCATGACCTTGACCTAGAAATTTGACCTACTTATCTCAAATTTTAACTTTGGGAGTAACCTTAGGTCAAGAAGAGACAGGTTTTCATATTTATTTTTCTTATGTGCATTAGCTGTGACAAGACCTTTCAGACTGTATTAGGATAATAAACCTCATTGGCCTTGATCTCCAAGTTTGATGTATTTTTAAGAGAAACTTTAATTTTGACTGTAACTTTAATTAATTCAAAAATCTAAATCTTTTTTGTATGATGGACAGACAATTAAGACAGGACACACAGACAAGACAGTTACAATACGCCATAAATTAACTGCATCTCAACCACTAAGACACCGAAAGCGGGGGACCACAATTCTTTGAATTTTGCTTTTTTAATTATCTTTTTTTTTTATTTTTTATTATTCATTTATTTACTTTTTTTCACTTCCAGAAAATTGTATCATATAAAGGTGTACATACTGGGTACCTGCCATATTTCTCCTGGAAAAAGTATCAAGACTATGAAATTCTAGTATAGGTACAAAAATCATTATTTACTTACATTGGGGAAAAACATACAAATAATGTACTATTTAATTATTTAATCAAGGTCAAATATCATTTTAGTAATACTTTAATCTATTTCAGATTGTGTCATTTACTACAAATTTCCGTTTATGCCACCTTATATGAAAGGACATGTCACTCTAACTGCGTAAAACTACATGTACCATGAAATTAGAATTCTTCACTGAGTAGTATTTAGATCTTCCTTAAAATAAAAGGAAACATAACACACAAAAGCGGCATCAGCTATGCAGAATCTATGTGAAAACATTAATTTATCCAGAATACTCTTTCCAACGAAGTACTATAGTGTAATGGGTTTTGACAAATATGAAGTCTAGCTTTTAGGGATATTTTATGTCTTTGCGAATTTTTCTCGTTATCCTTGCATCAAGAAATTCACAATTTACCAGGGTATGTTCCAAGCCGTTAAATGAAAACCAATTGTAAATTGTTAACATATAATGAATGATAAAGAGAAAAAAAATCAATATATTTACTCTTCGTACCAGCTCCATCTGTTTTATTTCCTGCAGGTTTTTATGTTTCCCATTTTATTTTTAGAAAAACTTTTATGCTTAAATATATCATTGTATGCCGACTGATATTGATTTGACAAATGCATTTTACTTTTTTAGTTGTGTACACATGAGGTAAAAATATGGAACCTGACCGATTTATGTTTGTATTTGTCTAGTTTCTGTAGTATTTATTTGTTCATTTTGTTTTACTTGTATATTAAGAAGTGAACTAATTCCATTTAAAATTAATACTTAAAAAATTCTTTGTTTTTAAGAAATATTACATGTAGGTACACAAAGATTTGAATATTATGTTTGAATTATTTTAAAAGGCATAAATTAGGCAAACAGTCCGTTAAAAAAAAAGCAAACAAAAAAAAAAACAAAACAAAACAAAAAAAAAAAACAAAACAAAACAAAAACAACAAAAAAAACAAACAAAAACAAAAAAACAAAAAACAAAACAAAACAAAACAAAACAAAATTTAAAAAAAACGAGTTTTATCTCTCGGTCTTTACCTGTCGACAAAAACATTGATTTGCAAATTATTAGCCTAATGCTATACATAATTATTATCCTTTAGAATAATACAGTCAATCTGATTGGCTTAGAGCATATCACGTGGTGGGAAACAAACCCTAACCCTCGGGTGACAAACAAATCTATAATCTCCCCCCTCTAAAAAGTCCATAACTATATATTGTAAATTTATCTATCGATAATGCTGAAGCCAAATATTTTTGTTCAAAAGCAAAAATGTATAAAGAAAACATCAATGAATATCAGTAGTTATGCAATTGTATATAATAGAAAGTACAAAAATATACAAATCATTAGAAAGTACCAATATTTTTATATTGTCAATATTGTTTATAACAAATTCATTCGCCTCTTTAAAAAAATCCATTGTTAGAGAACTGAATAATAAAATGGGAATTGAACATTTTTATGATCATTTAACCATTACATTTACTCATTAGTGGCTAGAAAAATACTGAAATACTCTTAAGACAGCTTGACCAAACAAACTTATAAAAGAAATTATTTTATACCGTAAACCCAAGCGTCAACAGAGAAACAATTGTTTCTTGTTTAGAATACAAGATAGCCCACTGCCACTGTTTACAATAGGCGTTAAATGTTGTTTACTCCTGTTACATACGTTTTTCTTTGATTTTAGTTTCAAAAGAAAACCTCTGGGTCGTTTAAACCGCACATCCAAACTGTGACCTGTATCACGTGATGACCTATTAACCTCTGAAAAACTTCATATAGAAATTATAAAGCAATTAACGCGCTTGACGTCATATTCAGTATTTTACTTTGAGGACAAATCATTTTATTAACTTAATACTAGAAAATTAAAAAGAATGAATTTTATAGTAACCAAAGTTATAATACTTCGTTTGGTTTGGAGCAGTCTAGGCAAATCACTTTGCGGTTTGCAAATTGTAAACTGCCATAGCTTAGGCTAATTTGTGTAACTTTTAAATTTTTTACGTATTTCAAAATTCTACCCAAGACAGATAGGTTTCATAGCTTATGCGAGTTAGTTACCCTCTTTTTTAAGCTTTCGTTTCTTAATCATTTTGTCAAAACACCAAACCCATTCCGAATTTATTTTCACAATTTTCATGTAATTTGGCGGATTTACTTGTAAATACAATATGGTACATGTACATGTATAACCTAAGATGTTATTTGACTCGTCTATTATCATTTATTTTTGTTCTCTTTTGTTATTGGGTGATAATTTGCATTATTAGGGTCAAAGTATTTGTGAAAATAATTTCCGCAGAAATCAGTATGCTATTATCATTATCATGAACATTTTATGTCCATTTATTCAAAATGTATGCAACATTTTCGGAATGTCGAGAAGAAATGCAAGGGAGAGGAGAAGAGTTCGAGTTATCAACGACATGTTGAAAATCCTTCGAGATAAATTACCTGAAGAGTGGACAACTAGAAAGATGAGTAAACTCGAAATTTTAAGGAAGTCAACTCTTTATATCAGTCGCCTAGTTGAGCTAGCAGAGGAGAATTCTTTTGTAAAGGAGATTCGTCAAAAATATGAAATGAAAAAGTCCGTGTCAGAAAAACTGAGACCTGCGTCCGGAAAACAACGAAGAGAACCGAATGGGAAAGACAACAATCAAAGGGAGGGAAGCTTTATTTCAAGTCGGATACGAAAAGAAGGCAGTGTTTCATCTGATGATATGAATGAACCTGTCGTGGATACACAGTCCTCGGGGTTTGGAGAAAATTTTCACGGAAATTCATTCGATGAATTTAATACATCCGAAGAACTAATGCATGTTGATACCTTTGTCAGAACTTGATTTTTATACTGGAAAATTTACTAATTGTTTTCATATTTTTTCATGCTTTGTGAGGCAGTATAAATATATTTTGTATTCATTGCGTGATAAAGGCATGCGTCTGAATGATGGAGACTAAAGTCGAGAAGATTTACAGAAATCTTCTAATCGGATGAAAATCGAACAAAAACGATACCATTCTAAACTTTATCATTACCTCAAGTGACTGTTGGCTGCATAAAATGTAAATTAGAATAAGACACATGTATCACCTATCATCAAAAATATATTTGACTTAAATAATGTAAAACACAAACTTGTGTAACATACGTTTTTATGCGATAAGTAAAATTTAATGTACTAAAAAAAAGGGACCTGTCGTTTAGTTGATAGCAAATGATAAGCAACTTTGTACATTACATATGAAAAACATATATATTTTTAAAGATATACTTCAAGGAAGTAAATATATTGTGTATCTCGTAATTTATAAAGGGAAAGAACATTCTGATGTATAATCTTTTTAATGTAGAGTTAACCTGTATTTGTGAATTACTTCTCCACTTCAATTCCAAGGCCATACACCAAAACTTAAACTACATGTATCGTCAATTCTAGTTATATCGCGGGTTCCATTGTATCGCGATATATTCCAAAAAGGATATATATGCTGAGATTAGCTCATATCCTTTTTGTTGATGAACTATCTGTCTGTCGTCTAGATGTTGAATTTTGTGATGATTAAAAAGCATGGAACATCCGTTTGAATTTTTTTTTTATTTAAATAAAACGTAATTTTACAGATTTCATTCCCGTTTTTATTTTATTTAGACCATTTAATTTATATCCTAGAAAAAAAAACCATAGAAACGTTCATATTGTGAAAGTCTTAAGTTTCTTTTATTGTTTAGTTTTCATGTAGATTTAAAATAAAAAGTGTTACTCGTGACAGCGCTAAGCTTCCATGTTTTTCAGTACCGCGATAATATGAGACTCTCCACTTTAGGAGGTAAATACAATGTAAGACTTCCTGTTTTAAAAAATAGACCACAAATTAAACGAAACAAGCTTGGAAAATAATTAGCCACGAAAAAGGTAAGCCATTGTTAGGTTTATGAATAGCATTTGATGAAAAGTTAAAGTAAGAATTTGGAATAACCTTTTTTAAGCAAAAAAAAAAAAATAAATAAATAAATAAAAAAAATAATAATAATAAAAAAAGTACCGCAATATAATGAGATAACAGTATATAGAGCAGCCCAGTCCTTCGGGCTGCAATAAATTATCTGAATTTTGATGTCACCATTCACTGAATTTGTTTTATAAATGAAAATAATGTCGGAATTTAGACTTTGATAAATTAAAGGTCGAATAAATTCTTTGCTACCTTTATTTCATTTTTTATGACGAAAACTTTTAATTTTCCTTCGTTGATTTAAAATTTTACATTATTAAACCGAAAACATCAACATTCTTTTATATCGATAACCATAGATGACTGTTATTCCTATTAATTTGGACTATTGTATTGACATAGGAAATACATGTAGTTATCAGAATTACATGTACATTTGCAGGTAAAACGATTCGTGTAAAAAAATTAAATTTCTTCCGTAAACGATCGAAGTCCTGATTTACATATCCTTCATAATTAGCTGTCTAAAACGTAGACATACTATACTTTATATCAAACGACATCAGAATTTACAAAGCCTGATTGATAATGGGAACATGTACCTGAATAAGAGTTTTTTTCTTTCTTTCTTTTTTCCCCCGATTTTTAGTAGCGATGAGCAACACCACATTATGCAGGAAAGATAACTTCTCTTTTTCATATATGGACAAAAAGCCTTGTCGTGAGTTGAAGTTACCTCTCTTGCTTCAATTAATCCCCGCATGAGCAGGTGCGTGAATTCAACCGATCAAGGTTCGATTACAAGGGCTACACCAACATCGCTCATTTTTATTTTGAATAAGAATAGAAAAGAAAAGGTAATTTAATGGACATGATTGTTGTGTACTTTATCTTATTCAATTATGTTTTGGGTAAATATTATAAACAAACTTTTTTGATGTGTAACAGGAGAGGAGAAATGCGACGGACCAGACCGGGATTCGAACCCGGACCTCTGAATCTCTGCTGAGAGGTTCTCTACCAACTGTGCTATCTGACCACCGGCGATCGAACCCGTCTGAGCGCCACAAATGATTCCCACTGGATAACATTTAATTTCATGACTATTCGTTTTATGACTAAGATTTAAGAGTAATAAAAGAGTTTAGGTAAATATTTTTTTCAAATTCATGCAAAAAAAAGTTAAACGATTGTAAAATCAACATCTCTAAGTAGAAAGTACCTTTAAAAAATCGGGTCATGTGTCAATGTCCAATTAATTACGTAACACCATATCATCACTGCTTGGATCTCTAGCTCAGTGACTTAGCCCGTTGTTGAGCATATAAAAAATATTTCATTTATTGTAGCTAGAAAATAGATCAAAGTTAAACGAGGAATGCAAAGACATCACGTTAAATATAATGCATATAAAGCATTTATAATTCAGGTTCTAAATTTACATTCAAACAAACTGTTAATTCTTTCAAACATGCTCTAGACCCATTATAGTTTTTAAAATTCATTTTCTTTATAAATGATATCTAAACTTGTAACAAAAGTATATGAATAGACAATGATTTTAATTAAGTTAATGGAAATCAAACATAAAATGTCTTATCCGTTCAAATAAATTATTCAAATGTACCAGAAGAATTAGTCTTTCTTTTTTTTAAAAAAGAACAATTTGTCATTTGTGAGATAATACGGGGCTAGATCACTAGGATATTGCATATTAATATTTATTCTTGCTATGGTTATCAAAGATTCAGAAATCATAACGCTGATTTCCCTGTAGTGCTGTCGGATAGTTTAATGGTTAAGAAATGATTTGTTGGAACGTTCTTCACTTTTCTATACAAAATGCATTTTTCATCCACATTCCAGAAATAAAAAATTAATTGGAAAACCTTTCCTTTTGTATGTGCAACATCTTTCTTTCATATTTTCCCCTTTATGCATTTTTTTGTAATATTGGATGGGATCATATAAAACTATAGAGCATGATTAAAGAAAAAAAAGTTATCTATTTGTCATAAATTCTCAAATAAAATCAAAATTTACAAATTATTCCCTATTGTGTCATAGTCATCAATTCCATAAATCAAAGGTTTGTCGTATTTCCAGCCGTCATCAATAATCTTAGAAATGCAAATGTTCAATAGAAATAAAACATTAATGACACTCTAATTACACAAATAGAAAATTGAAAAAAATCAGAATTGAGTAACAGTACGGAGTTTTTGCAATAAAGAGAAAACAAAAAATTCCATACCCAGTGATGGATTGAGCGCGTACCTTTCTTCAGTGATCAGAAAATAAAAGCTCGTCTGATGAAGATTTCCCTATAGAGTAATCGTTAGTGATTCAATAACATTAATTATTTCATATTTTCTCTATCATCTCATCATCGGAAGCGCCGAGTTGTCGTGCAGATCACAAAAATGATGTTTAACGCGGTACGACTCTGTAAGCATATATTTGCTTTTCTCATCCTTAAATCGTCTATACATTATAAACAAAAAAAGAGAATTATTTTTATTTTTGACTTTTACAAATAGGAATGTTAATTTATTATTACGGCTTTGGATAAATCACTATATAGTTATTAGTAGTTCACTCGGTGCATAATGAAGCAATTTTGATTCCTAAAAATTAAGCAGTCATACATGAATAGTCATTTACATGTATTAAATTTAAAGTACGTCTGTCACATTGTTTAAAATACATTATTATCAAACTCCGCACTTGGATTTTCTAGGAAATAACCTGTTGATTTCAAGTTTTTTTTTTTTTTTTTTTTGTTATTTTATTAAGATTTTTTTTTCGTGTTATTATATTAAGACTCTTTACGTATTATTTTTTCCAATTCTCCTCAAATATCCATGATTTTGTGTGGTCCTGATACCAAACAGATAAACATTTTCCTGTCAAAAACAACAAATATATCAACCAAAATAGCCTATTATATATCATTTGCAGGAGAAAATCCCTCCCGAAATATTCACCTAGGTATGGAAAACATGCATGTATTTTTTAACTGGGTGGCTCAATTCTTTTTCACAAAGGATGATTTTCGAATTATCACCCTCGAGAGCAATAAAAAGATCAGTACACAATTTTATCATCTCATCTGTAAGGGACGGTAACTCACACTCCCCGACAGCGCAAGACCGGAACAATGATCGTGTGAAATGTTAATTTGGACATGACATCATCTTTGAGACCATTTGTAAAAGACATCAAAAGATCACACATCGAGGACTGCCCATTGACCGCTGAAGTCTAGATGATAGATAGGGTATTTGACCACTGAGTTTTGACGCCTCTCCAATGACCAGGTGATAATGTTCTTACACCTAAATGATGTTAGCATTATATTCGGAAGCTAACACCAAATGGCCCGCGACCGATTACTTTTCGTCTCAGAAAAAGTGATAATAGTTTTAATATCTTTATCTATCTTTTGGTGTTAGTGATCGTTCAGTGGTCATTAGCAATACATATCCTAAATATCGTCACATTAGAAACTCAAAAAAAGCCACCCATTGTGAATTTCTGATTACAAGAAACACCCCTTTGACCTTCCTATTTTACAGTGTATATAAATTACAAAATGGTTAGGCATGAACTTTCTCATTCAAAGCATTTTTTCAACGTTTTATTCTTGCTGACTGTTGTTTTTCCAAACGGGGCACACCACAAGAAATCTTTGATCAATCATGCATTAAACTCTAATTTGTCTGATAATTGTTCATTTCCCTAAAAGCACCTCGTCTCATGAAAATATCATTTTATGCAAAAAGACCTTTGAAAGTATTTTTTTTTTTAAATAAACTTTTTTTTTCCGGGGGGGGGGGGGGGATGAATTGCTCACAACAAGGTCCTGTTTAGG